CTTCCCGCATATTACAGTCTGTGCCGAATTCGGCGGTTTATCTAAGAAAAGGAATTCATCGCATAAGCAAATACTTTTCAAATATGCAAGCCTACGACTAATATCTTCCTGAGCAAGGAGGAAACATTCCTTAATTAGTTTTCTACTTAAATACGGCTTTATCATAGCTGTGTGCTGCCGAAGGCCACATTCTTCTTTTTTGTACTTATATATCGTGAGAACATTGGATAAAATTCCCTTTGAATGGCCCTAACGGACAAATAATGGTAATTTTTATTACTCGACGAATAAAGCCGTCACCTTGGCAACAGTTTTTACCCATTAATTTAACGCCTTGGCACCGTCCTATAGTTAATAATTCTCGAGATTATGGTCTTAGTAATATCATACATTTTAGCTAGCGACTTACGCGGCAACCTCTCGGCTGCCAACTTTCGTATGCGCAAGAAGTTGGCGTCAGACAGAAAATGCTTTGGCATCGGAAGACCACGACACGACGCAGAAAAATGAAAACGTGTCACGAGTTTCGCTTATATATCAAGTTAACGCTCATACATATCAGTACGCTCATACAAATTTTGCCATACAAATTTATGAAACTGCTTACTATGGCGTAAAACTTCACATATTAGCAAAAAATAATTTTTTAAACTCAAATTGATCCTTGTTTATGAAACTAAATGCGATTCCTTAAATTTGGCATCACTTTCATTTGAGCAACTTTGGACTAAATTTTTCCGTTCTGGATGGGACATGTTTTACACTTTTTTAGTTATTTTGGTGTTCTTCCATAGTATAATGCATATAAACCAAACGTTTGTTTCTGTCTTATGGGAACTTCCTTCGATATATACTTACTCACAATTTAATCCAATCTATTGCCCATTTCGCTCATAAACTTTAACTATGAGGGCAATTTTCCGAACTAAAGCTTTTCTAATTATTAAATTCACTCAGATGATCAAAATAACCGGGCAAAATATATGCTAAACTGCCAAGTTTAAATTTGTCAAGAAAGTTTCATGCAGGACTCGCCATACTGTAGAGTTGACTTGATGGGACGGATTTCGTTTTCATTGCACAATAATTGAGCCATTTCCTTAACACTTTGACTGCGACATGCGCCATATGTGGTACACGCAATGATCTCACAAACTACAGGCTATTTTGGGAGTCGCAGTCAAAGAGTTAATGAAGTTTATTGTCTGTTATTTGTACATCAGCACTGTTACGTTACTGTTGTGTTTTGGGAACATGCAGATTAAAATTGAACGTTTAAATCGAAAAGAAAGATCAGCCGGCAGGCGTTCGGTAGAAAATGCGCAGTCGTTGAGATTTTCTAATAATAAATTTTTCTATTTTTTGCAAGTAAAATGAGAATTTCGCACAACACACTTGAAGAATAATTTTAATGTGTCCTGTTGGAATTAGTGCCAAAATTGCACAGCTACTGGTAAAATGATTTAGTGCAAGACAAGCACTGGCTAACGTTCCTTTAAAGTAAAAAAACCTTTGTTTAACTTGAGAACCACATAAGCTAGGTAAATAAATCCAAAATCCGACTAAGTTCTATCTGCTGGACATAACATGCATGGTCAATGGACGAGACATTTTTATGCAGAAAGAAGGAAATTGGCTTGACTGTAGACGCAAGTATAAAGCAATAACGTTTTAAAGATATTTAAAGGTTGGTTGACGAAATGAAGTGAAAATAATGGAAGCAGTATAACAATCGGTCAGACTCGACTAAGGCTCCACATGAAGGGAAGTTGAGTGATTAGTAGAGGTGTCTTGCAT